ATAAACACAAAGTGTGCACACTGAAAAAGTCACTAGTCATCTAATAAATCTAGTTAATGCTATACAGTGGAATGAAGTGTGTGTATGTATGACAGAGTGAGTAGTGGAGGCTCTCACCAGTCTGAGCCATGCTGTGGCCACGCTTGACTTTCTGAAAAGTGAAAATAGAGGATCCGGCCATTCGGGACATACCCTCCTCATCGTCTGTAGAACAAAACAAAACAAACAAATACAGAACATCTTACAGACATTTGAACATCATCAAGCTGTACCAGAAGGAAAGCTTGAGCTGGCTTGTAAATTCACCCACTGACTATATGTGATAACATGGCATGAAAATATATTGCATATAAATGCTCGGCTTGTTGATATCTATTGAGAACCCTAATAGAAGCACCACTCCATGTATAAAGTACAAATCAACAGCAAGACAAACTACAGCCTTCAAAATGATCATAAAGATGGATCAGCCCCTCTCTGAAATAGCTTCAACAAAATCAGAACATCATAACCTTAGTGAAGGCAGGATTTATTACAGGGTTGTTGTATTGAACCACATTAGTTGTAGCTAAGTGTACCTTATAAACTGATTAAATATTGTTTTGCATTGTCTAACTTGCAGGTGGAAGTCCCTCTGTTATTAAGGTCCAACATAAAAATGGCTTCCTTCTAAAACACACAGTTATATTACATCGCTGTCTGAATAACCTACCTTCTGTATTGTCTGTTCCTAAAGACTGGATATAATTCTGCTCGTCAAAGACTCCGTTTTCATCTCCAACATATTCTGCGTCCCATCTGGCCCGTCGTACAGCTGGGCTCTTAAAAGTTACCATCTTCTGAACAGACCCACCGTTGCTCTGCACACCTTAAGGAAATGCAAAACAAAAAGACAGACAATCGGTGAGCCAGAGACATTCTTCTCATAAACAACAACAGATAGGTCAAGTGACTCTATTGTCCATACCCTCCTGTTTGTCCAGGATATGCTCCAAAACATCTCGGTCGCCGATGAACTTCACCTCCAACACACTCATGACTGAAAGGAAATGCAACATACAGTGTGACAGTAGCTAGTTTAATGTTACATTCAGCCACGTTTGCAAACACAACAAATAAGAAGTGTAATTAACAAGGCTGGGTGCGTTTCTGCTATGAAAGTCTTTCAAATCAGCATTTATAGTAACCAAATTAGCTGCCAGGGAAACGACAGTGTGTTGAGAAGGTAGAAACACTGTGGACAATCCGCAACAAACAGCGGTAACACAATAAATGTCTAGAAGTTACAAGGAACAGCAACGAAATGTGTCCGCGCTAAGGCTACTTACTTGGTAATGTCAGTGTCGCCCCCCAAAAAACGTAAACAAGGCTTTCATAAAGAGATAGCTAACCCGTGTGACAGTGTGACAACTTTCCGCGCCATCCCAAAGAATTTTTAAATCACGTGACAAGTGAAAGGTCACAGGGTGACCAATCAGAACGCTCGCTTTACTGAAAACACCATTTCCCAAAATGCTATTCGCACTACAGTTTACAACCTGTTGGCTCGAGATTTTGTTAATGACTGAAGACAATGTTTACTGTAGACAACAAGAACTTGAACAGTGGCATATTTCCTAGATTATTATAATTTAAAAAATGTCAACATACTGTTTTTTAAAATTATGATTAGGACATCTATTTTAGACCTGTGGCAAGATGTTTGAAAATGAAATTATAGACAATACTACATTTATTTCTTTTGGGAAAAAAATCAGCAATTTTTGTAGCAATGAGTCTAATGTGTATTACCAAAAAAATAATGTATTAACAATGGACTAAGTAAGCTGCCGCGTGGTGCTTCATTATTAATTTCTTTGCCTATATGTTCATCTTGCAGTACATTACAAAGCTGAACTGTGTATGTCTCTTTCATGGTAATTTAAGTAAGTCCTGCATTCAAAATGTTAAAAGTACCAAGGTATTAGCATCAAAACATAGTACTAAAAGTGCTTATTATACAGAATGGCACATTTAACATTGTGTATCATATTATAATTGCTGATGCATTATTGTATACATCACATTTAATTTTGCAGTTGGTAAAGGGGAGCTAGTTTTAACTGGCTTATATGCTATTAATTTGAATTACTGCTGAGTAGCTTGTATATTTCCCAGTGGGGATCAATAGTCTTATAATCATACTGTATGGTTCTGAAAAGTAACTAAAGTTGTAAAATAAAAGTATGGGAATAAACAAAATATTTGCCTCTAAAATGTAGTGAAGTCAAGGTATGAAGTAGCAGAAAATGAAAATACCCATGTAAAGTACAGGTACCTCAAAACTGTACTTGGGTACTGTACTTAAGTAAATGTACAGAGTTACTTTCCACCACTGGCATTGTGACAATGGTGAAATGATGGAAAGACAACAGTCCTAATCATTTCATTTATTTAGACGTAAAAATCATACAGGTATGTAATTCTTTCCTACATATTTTTTTTCCACATTGCTTCACATAAAACATTTTGTGAATAGGATTAGAAAAAGTCCTATGTGTTATTTAATCACTATTCTTGGAACATGTTGACATGTTTAATTTGGAATGATTAGTACTGATATGTGTTTTTTGCCTCGGAGGAACAGTAATAGAGTAAATATGCTTCATCAATAGTCATCCTCAACATTTGAAATACACTGCAGATGCCACGAGTTTAGCTTTCCTAACAAGGTGATAGGTGAACAGCTGTTCACCACCCGCGAGTGGGAGTCCACTTCCCCAACAGACGGCCTTGAGAGTGCACATGATACACTGGATGCATCGCAGCTGTCGCGCAAGACTGTAGAGATCAACAGAGAGAATGACATAAGAAAAGAGTGACATAACAAAACCAACACATCGATAAACATAACTACAACAACTAACAATAAAGAGTACTAACATGGTAGGGGATCAGTGTGAGCACAGAGCCCAGGGGGAATTTGCTGTAATCTAGCGGTCCTGAGATGGGCTCGACTCGCCCGTGCTCCTGGGTCATAGATAATAACCTGAAGGGAAAAGTCTCTCATCAGAACTTCAGTCACACTTGAGTTTAATCTTGAGATTAAAGGCAATACAACATGGCATTACTTGAGGTTTGGATGCCCTTCAATCACAGCATATCCAGTGGGAAGTTTTCCAGCTCCATCCAGACTGAGGGGAGTGAGCAACAACAGGTCAAAGGTTACATCATGGCCAAGTTGGATCATATTCTACCAATGTAAACCTAAGAGTAGGAAATACAGTGGCCCATAAAGATACACATAATGTATTCAGTCCGGTTGCTATGGACACTGCTGATTTACATGAATGTGTCTTTTGTCATCCTAAAGTGGCAATAAATTTACCCGTCCACTCTGCAAATACAAAACAGGGTAAACAATACAGATGAAGGCACCTGATTCCAGTCCAGCCACAGTCAATAAGCAGCTGGTTCCTGTGGGGACAGTGTCCAATGACTCTTGTCAAAACCCGCACAGCCACGTCCTTCAGACTGCATGAGCCAATCAGTGACTGCTGCACATCTAAAACACACCACAAACACTTCAAAAGTCATCACTGCTCATTGGTGACAACAAAGTACCTAAGCTGTCTTTTTTGTCATTATGCTAATTTGAAGTGGAAGCCTACATTAACAAACTGGTACACTAATACAACTACACTGCGATTCAGCCACACACCAAAGAAGACGTAGTTCCCAGGATGCACCTCGCTGAGCTTTGCCATGTCTTTGACTGGGTGACTACAGGAGGGGGTGGAGCCAATGCTGGACTTACAGGTGATGCCAACAGACTTCAACCTAGACCACAAACCCAAAGAAGTTAAATTTGAGATGGTCTAAACACAGCCTTTCATTAAACATCAACTTAAAAGCCTATTTGTGCTGAGGCCAAAAATTCTAATGTGATAATAATTCAACATAAATCTATGTGTTAACAGAATTTTAAGCTATGTGGGGAAACTCAACAGGCCACAAACACAATGCTGACATCTTAAAAAGTTGATATGGTGACTGTGTTATCAAACAGTTGCCTATTTACACATTTAGACACGGAGGAAGATTAGCATTCATTTGTAGTTGTATTTGTGTCCAACCAGCAAATTTAAATCCAACATTCACTCTTTCTATCTCTTTTTAAAATAATTTTTGGGGCATTTTAAAGTTTTGTTGTCCCTGCTTATCCCTGTTTTTGGTCTCCACAAACTCCTAAGAGAACCATTTAGCTGATAAATGCTCCACACTGGAGGTGAACGATAGCTGCAGCAGATGCTTTAGAGCTGAGGGGATCTGCAGAGTTGGGTGCTAAATGTAACAGATTTCAAATTATTAGTTATTTAAATTATCCATCCATCCATCCATCCATTTTCCTCCGCTTATCCGGGGCCGGGTCGCGGCGGCAGCAGTCTAAGCAAAGATGCCCAGACTTCCCCCTCCCCAGACGCTTCCTCCAGCTCCTTCGGGGGAATGCTGAGGCGTTCCCAGGCCAGCCGAGCGACATAGTCCCTCCAGCGTGTCCTGGGGCCTCCTCCCGGTGTGACATGCCCGAAATGACCGAGCTCCTCACCCTATCTCTAAAGGTGCGCCCGGCCACCCTGCGGAGAAAGTTCATTTCGGCCGCCTGTATCCGGGATCTTGCCCTTCGGTCATGACCCAAAGTTCATGACCATAGGTTAATTAAATTATTATTGATATAAAAGTACCAATTAGAACAGCATTAATGTTTTCAAATCAGAACATGGAAACGTTTCTCAATGTAAACAACTAAGATTTAAATATTCAAATTGTGTTAATATTCCAGTTCCACTTTTGAAGTGTCTGAATTTTAAAGTTCTTAACTCTGTTCTGCAATCTTGGCTCTAAAACAACAGGAGTTTTGTGAAGACAAGACACTTTCACTTCCTCAAAGTGCAGTGGTACACACCAGCACTCTGCTAGCACTTTGCTTTTGTCTTACTTTTCCATGAACTGCAGAGTCAAGATGGTGGTTTCCTGGGCAACACTCTGTATTTGCTCCACTCCTGTACAGTTGTAGGTGTTCCCACAGTGAGCATAAACTCCGGTCAGCTGCACGCCTGCTGTCTCAGCAATGGCTTGAGCCAATCTGAGTGCCTGAGGTTCTGAGTGCAAGATGCCAGCTATGGCAAAGAGCAAACACACAATCATCAGGTGCCCAGAAGATGATGAACAGCTGCACTTTGATCTCCCTGCCTGTTTACCTCTCCCATTGCCACAGTCAAGTTTCAGCCAGATGTGCCACAGCCGGCCATCTCTCAGCGGTCTCTTTTTGAGCTGCTCCAGAGCATCATGGTGATCCAATAAAACCTGGAAAAGATCCAGCTTCTCTGATAGTGCTGCACAACGTTCTACCTAGACACACACACACAAACACAGAGTAAATTAACGTGATTCATATTTGGAGTATGGTTATGACAAAATAAATAAGAAACCTATCTCCCTCACTCTCTCCTTCCCTCCTAGAGGCAATTTCTCCCTCACTCTCTCCTTCCCTCCTAGGGGCAATTTAGGGTCAACCTAAGCTGCATGTCTTTGCGCTGTGGGAGGAAGCCAGAGTTCCCGGAGAGAACCCACATAGGCACAGGGAGAACATGCAAACTCTGCACAGAAAGGATCAGCCAGGACTTGAACCTAGAACTTCCTTGCTGTGAGGCAACAGGCTAACCACCACACCTAAAATCAATCAATCACTGTTTTAATAATGGCTTGATTCAGGTTTAGATTTTTTTGGTTGTAATAGGTATAACATTTTCCATATAAAATGCAGTAATGCACTGCTGCATTTTATAGGTGTGCCAGGGTCCTGTTATTGTACATGAAGGCTCACACTTACATACAACACAGCGCTCATCAATTAGTTAAATTAATTAGCCCACCTGTGCTTGTCCTGCTATAATGAGCAGTGCTTTGAAAAAGGTAAGCTGTTATCCAAGTATGTTGTACAGACCTTGGACTTTAGCCATCATTAATTTTATTGTTTACACTTATGATTTTCCTACACTGACAAGTCACAATGTCCTCTTTGAAAATTTGCATATAATGAATTTATATTTGTATTATGTGTCAGCTGACTGAACCTTATCAAAAGGAAGAGAGTATGCATAGAGGATGTCATCATATCCATGGTCGGCATAGAAAGAGGCCTCTGCCAGTGTGGACACCACGATGCACCTCCGTGATCCACCCGTCATTATGTCAGCACACTCACTAGATATGAACATGAAAACACAGATTCAGACGCAACTCGTACACCCTACACAGGGCTCATCTGTATGAAACTATTATACGAGTGTGTGTGTGTATACCGACAGGGTTTTGTGGGTCTTCATGTGAGGGCGAAGTTGGACTCCCAGCTTCTGACAGCGTTCTGTCATCCTTTTGGCATTTTCCTTCACTTTGTCCACATCCACCACCAGAGCAGGGGTACACAGTGCTGAGATGGGCTCCCCTTCCATACTGGCCTCACTGGAACACACACACACACACACACACACACACACACACACACACACACACACACACAGAGATAATTAGGTCTGCATTTCTCGTGCAATTAAATTTTTGTGCACGACTTGCTTCAATTCTCAAACTATTACCACGGCGCTACTGTTCTTACAAACAAACATAGCTAAAATGTTATTGTATACATGCTTAAATAACATAACGGCCAATCAAAATGACTTATTACTTATTTCCTGCACAGTTTTGCAGTGCCTCCTGTTGTATAATATAGAGACCTTTGAACTTTGAACGCCACGACGTTTTAATTTAAACAAATCTGGTTTTCTACGGAACATCTATTGATTCTAAATAGCATAAATAAACGTCAAAGTAAGCAAAACAAAAAAAAGCATAACGTTAACTACAGCTAAGCTTGGCCACTTTATAAAAGGCTATTCTTAGAAAGCCTAGGTTAACTTTACAAAAGCACTCACCAACAGACCAGAATGTACTATGAATGATAATTTAATAGTCCTTATCTCAATGCACATTGGTAGTAGAACATATATGGAACTACCATAAATACTAAATACTGGACACATCGACGTAGAACTACTTTTATCATTAGAGAAAACGTACACTTGGAATGTTCCGACTGTTGTAGTTACTCTCTTACGGCGTCCTGGAGTGTTCAAACTTCCCCACCAGATGCATTTAATGTTTCCTTTTTTTTTTTTTTTCTTTTTTTTTTTCTTTTCTTCTTCTTCTTCTTGTTCCTCGGTTGTTTAATGCTTAACTTTAGGTGCATTACCGCCACCTTCTAGACTGGAGTGTGGATCACAGGGGCCCCTAACTACTCCTACTATAACAAAATAACCTCATTCAATTCACATTATATTGTCTTGCTTAACCCTGTACTCTTTAAAAACCTAAGAAGTGCTCTGTATCCTATATCCCCTTAGCTTTTTTCCCACACCTCCATTAAACTAAAGTTCATTCCACCACTTTGAACTATAATTTATAGATACCCACCTGAACTTGGGACAAACCATAATAACATGTTCCACAGTTTCCTGTACCATACACAACTCACATTCCCCTGTATTATGCTTCTTCAATGTAATTTTCAATCCAGCATGACCAAATCTCATTCTTGATATCATATTTTCTTACTTCCTATTCCTAGGACTTCCTCTCATTTCTCCTACTTTCCTTTGGATACTGACCATTTCTTTGAAATGTCTTAACTGCATCACATAGATGGAAATCAGCCGTATAATCACTCTCTTGAATGGATTGCAAGTAGTTATGGTGAATAAAGTTATTAGACAGGATAATATAATGTTAAAATAGATGAGTCCATCTACACTAATGAATTTACTGCTTTGGTATGGGTATTTGATGACATGAAAAGAAGCAGGTAATTTCTTTTAAGGGATCAAAATAATTTGAGAGCAAAATATTTTTATTATGGGGAAGGGATAAATATTACATTCCAGTGGAGGAAAATGTAGCCTACAGGTTTTCTATTCTTCTTTTCTTAGCTAACATCATTGTTGAGAGCCATTTCATTGCTGATTAGGTTGCAGGTTGCTGATTAGGCTTTATGACAACTTGCAAAATTGCACCAAAAACATTAACACATCACCCATAGGCCTATAGGCTACACTGTTTCTTTCAAACACAAAAGACGGTTTAGGGGTCACCACATTACACTTTATTTGTATTTAATTTTTACAGATATGGTTCTATTTGTCAGTCAGTGAATGTGCAGTTGACTATATGTGTGTTTGAGTGTGTATGTGTGATTCTTGTGTGGTTGAGTGTGGGGCATTTATGTGTGATTTTGTTTCCCTGGAAAACACATGTCTGCATGTTTTTATCCCATGAACAAACAACAGTAATTACAGCATAAAATGATGTAAAAAAGTTGGTCAAATAGCTTTGTCCTTTTAACTGTTTTAGCACCTTTAATATGAATAATGTGACTTTGTGAAAAGAAAGAGAAAGAGAGAATTATTTTCTGCAAACTGAAAATCAGTACAAAATTCAAACAAAACAAAGCCTACATTTTGTTTCGTACACATTCACTATTCAAACACTTCTCCTCTTGGATACTTCTGAGCGTCTTTGGCTGGAAGTGCTGACCATAGATTTAGAACAAATAGAATAAACACATTACAAATATTGCATGCCTGTGTGTGTGTCTGTTTCTGTTTGTGTTAGTCCTGAACAGATTATTTTGGCTTCTGTATCTTCTAACATAAAGACAAGATATGGAGTCATCTCAGTGCTTACGCCCATCATTCAAAATGATAATGATAACAGAGGTGCGTTCATGCCTCTGTGTTTATGTGGACACCGTAGACTGTATATAAAAATGGACAATGTGACAACTGCCCTGGAGTGAAGTGACTGATTCTAGTATAGGTCATAAATTCTGCCTCCTCCATCTTAGCAGATGGGACATGAGCCACACTGAAAATTCAAAGTACGAATCAAGTTACTTTTTCCAAAATGTGATTTCTGTCATTACAGGTAGATACTATCATGCTGATTTGTGTACAAATGGTCTGATAAGTCAAATTTTAATAAGTTATTTGATTATAAAAAAGGGCCATACTTTGGAGGCTTGACAGCTTTGACTGTTGGCCTGATACTGCGGCTTCACTTCTGGTTGCTAATGCACAGAATCTGGTTGCAAAATGCATCACAAAAGCAAGATGGCCACCCCAGTATTCACAATATTTTGGCTTCACTTTTACATAGAACCAGAAAGTGGTGACGTGTTGCCCATCTTTCTATACAGGTTATAGTGTACACTGTAGGAAGAATTTTCTTTCATTCTACCCATTCTAATTCTATGGCGTAGATGTTACAGTTCCTCACTAACATATCCAGCGGATAAAGCGCTCAAAGAATGCCGGTTTGTTCAGCATGGTGTAGTCATTTCCTCTAAAGATGGCTGACATGTCCCCTAGTGACACCTTTCGCAACACCTCTTCATCTGTGTCAGTTCCCATGGCGATCACCGTAGGAACGCCTTCTGCTCTTCTCATAGCAGATATGCCCTCATCTAGCTGCTCACTGGCTGTGATGCCATCAGTGATGAACACAAAGGCCACCTCAGCGTTGCGACGAGACAAACGGGTTGCCTACAAATACAGCAAACAATGTTAAAGGATTAGTTCAGCATTTTAGGAAAAACACTTACTTGACTTTTTGCCAAGAATTAGATGAGAGGATGAATACCACTCATATATGTGCATGTAAACAAACTTAAGAGAAAATGCTACATTAGTTTAGCATAAAGAGAGAAAGCAGGGGCTAAACAGCATTCACAAATGCCACAAGTTGTAATTTTTTGTGTGATTGTTTACAGATTAAACAAATGAGATGCAGTGTGTCATTTAAAGGTGTTGTTAGGAGTATTTTTGAACTTTGGAGAGGCTGACTGTTTCCCCCTGCTTCAAATCTTAATGCTAAACTAATCTGAGACATCCAGGCTCTACACTTAGAAAAATTGACATTTTTGGAAATACACCTTTTCACTTTCTTGCTGAGAGAACCTGTTAGCCTGACTCAACCAACACTTTCATTACAAATTAATATTGTATATCTTTTATATATCTCATGTTTAATCTTGCCATCACTGTGACATTGACAAGCAACCACAGGTGATTCAGAGGAGTCACTCACTGTGTCTCAATTTAGGGGCCACATCCTTTGCATGCCTATGAAAACATGGCCTTTGTAGCCATTGAAGACCACAATAACTGAACTATGGACCAAATTGAAATGAGACGGTCTCGTCTATGGAAGATTTTCAATTTATGTTACCAGCTGTTCCTGCCCTTACAGTTGTTATATAAAGCACCCCTCCTGTCCTGGCAACCATGATAGCTGGTCTGCTTTCAACCAGCATGTAAAGAATCTTGGGACAAGGCGGGCTGCGAAGGATCCACCAGTTGGAACCTTCATTGCCTGGCCAAAGAAGGACACATTTCTCAGCTGCATTTGAAGGAGCCTTTGAAATGGGATGGCCTTGTTCTGCCGTTGTGATGAGCCTTTGAAATGGGACGGCCTTGTTGTGCCGTTGTGATTCAATCGGTCTTCAAATGCAGCCTTTGAAGGATGGGACACAGCTACTGTGTCTGGTTAAGAAATGGTCCTGCACTTAATCCAGGAAGACCAAAGCTCATCATTTTTGTATGGTTTAGGCAACCAAGATGCCTTCTTTTTATTAATGAGTAGTAGAGTTGCTGGTAGATGGATTAGTCACTTTTGGACAGAACTAGGCTAGTTGTTCTCCCTTGTTCTCCTGCCTTATTAATTGCCTGCTGGCTGTAGGTTTATATTTACAATACAGACATGGGAGCAATTTTCTCATTTTACTCTCAGCAAGGAAACAAATAATAATAAAAAAGCCTACAGATTACCTGCCCACAATAAAAGTAAATCCAACTCAAGTGTGCGTGTGTACCTGCTGAGACAACACATTGTTGACTGCATGGATGATACCACTGCCCAGAGCAGAAGACGAATCCAAGTAGGTCACAGCTGCCAGTGAATCAGAGATCACTGTGAGATTGTGGGTGAGGGCAAACTCCACCTTCTGTTCTGTAGGGCTGCCATACTGCACCAGAGCCAAACGGGCATTTCTCTCATCTGTGGAGCTGCTGGCCAGTGTGAGGCGGCGAGCAACATTCTCAATGAACTCTTTGGCCCTGCGGTGATTCTCCAGTCCCATCCTCTCGGAACCATCCAAGAGGAACACCACATCCACTGGCCTCTGAACACAGCTAGCCACAGCAGGTTCTGGAACACACAGATGTATACAGTTTTAAGTTACACATGTGGTTCAGTGAGAAACAGCTGGAACACAGATATTTAAGGGTCAAATCCAGAAAAAAGAAACACACTATATATGCAATACTACCATACATGCTAGTTGCAGACCAGCTGTCTGACTTCCTCTAATCCTTCTCAGTGGCTTCACCAAGAAAGCACTTTTAGTTTGATGTGCAGTTTTATTCTCTCCAAATAATATGTTGCAGTCACAGAGCTAACATGATACAATAATGTTAAAGTCGCTCAACAGCCATTTTCTTCCAATCAAGAATGATTTAGCCAAGTCACATGCAAAAAAAAAAAACATGCACAAGCCAAGGGCATAACATACAATAGCTCCTTCACATTCAGTGCCAACATCTGACTCCAGTATAATGTGACATATAAAACCAGATATTTCCACATGTAATGGCCTTTTCTTCAACATGAGTCATTCACAGAGCACAAGGAAAAAGTAAAGGCCGTAACCACGGATTTGTGCAAAACAGTAAAAAAATGACATCAGAGTGATTCAGCGAGCTTGTGGTTCACAGTGGAAATGAGGCTTCATCAAAGAGCCACTGTAGGCGCAGAAGCCACATCGCTGGCTCTACAGACGCATCTGCCTCCAACAAATGGATAATACCTGCTTTCCATTTGAAAGTAAAATGTTCCTCCACTAAGGTGGAAGAAATGATATGTATCATATTACAAACAGATAGACTGTTTTGAAATACAGTGTCATTCTTTTGTATTATTTCAGAACATTTTAAGAGATCACTGTGAATCCACACTTAGATTTTTGACCCAACATATACAGTAACTATGCATAAGACTGCTCTGAAAGCAATTGGCACAGCCAGCTTCATATCATGCGACTATTCTGCATCAGCTCAGGTGTATATTGCACCTGTAGAGTTAAAGGAATGCCCACAGTTTTGATAAAATCTATTTTATGTCCAGCACTAAGCTTATTAGTCATTGGCATCCACAATGGCGAGGTAGCACGGTTAGCATATTAGCAGAGTCCGATAGCTTTCTCTGGGTCTTCCATAATGTCTCCATAGACATATTTGAAGGACTCGATGAACAGCTGGGTCCATTGCTGCCTGTCTGCTCCCTGGGCGAGTTTGGCTCTCTGGGCTGTGTATGCCATGGTTGCCACGCCAACACCATACTGCTGCTCACTCAGGCCACTCAGCAGACTGGCCACACCCTCCAAAGAGGTGGGGACCATTGAGGGGCTGCCTTCCTCAGTCAGTAGCATCCAGGGGAGAGGGGCTTGCCCTGTAGTGATGCCCCCTCCTGCAACAAGTGGGCGGAATAACATTGTGGGCAGAGTCCCACAGATACGACGCATCAACACAGCCAAATAAGATGGTGGAGGTACATCGCACTGCATATAGTGCAAGTCTGGCCTATTGGTTTTATAGCCACATTATTTAACTGCACCTCAGTTAAAGAGTTACAATACAATTAATAATTTGCCCGCAGTTCAAGCCACAGCCCATCTAATCTTTAACACAGGTTAAGACATCAGTATGCTTCAAACAGCTTGGGGCATCAGTATTCTAACAAAGCATACTGATGCATCCTCCATCTAAGGGGAAGGAAGAGTGGTGATGACCTGTATGAAACTGATGGAAGAAGTTCAAAATGAGCATGCTTGTCAGATTGTCCTTTTCAGAAAGTTATAGAAAGGATGCCATAAATTCAGACATCAGACAGATGCCTCCATTTACTGACAATCTGACAAGCACTTTGTTTAAAGCATATTGACACATTAGTAATGTTGGTTACTCAGGCTTAAATGTTGATACAATGTGTAAAATCTTTGAAATGGACACAAAGCGAGGATGCAACTTATTTGATGCATATCGTTTCAAAATCTTACCTGATTTACAAGGGAGTTCAGGACATACTACAATAGGATCTAAAGCAAAGATGGAGACACAGTGTCAGAAAACAAAGGCAAAAAGCAAACATCTTCTCATTGTTCAATATGTGAACCTACATAGTGTGTGTTTCCATAATGAGTGTTTACCAGGGCAGAGCACAGTCTCAATCTTGTCAATGAACTCCTCGGCCACCAGGTCTGCAAAGCGCCTCATGCCCAGCACCCTGCCATCCTTCTGACAGGCGATGCTCTTCAAACTCTCATTCTCTTCAACCTGGTAGAACATGTCTCCAATACCGATGGCGCTCACATCAACATTGGGATCACTGCTCACATGCACCGGTAGACAAAAACACAAGCAATGACCAACTTTTTTTTCTCCGCAAATACTAATCTTAATCTTAGTATCTTAAAAATACAGCCTCAGCGTCACACACGTGCAGAGGTAGGTGAGCAAGGAATCATCATCTCTGGGGTCGAAACGTCCATCAGTGATGACAACTACAGTGACATTGGCTTTGGCTCTGCGGCTCTCCTTGATCAGGTTGTCGTAGGCGTACTTCAGAGCAGATGGAGTCCACGTTCCTCCAGCAATCCACTCCAAACTCTTCACTGCTTCCTGAATAGTGGAGAAGGCAGCATGTGAGAATGTGTGCAGACTGGTGGGTGATCTGAGGTCAGTACCTTTCTACAAAGACATTCCTGTCTATAGCTAGGATTATTGCTTTGCTGCTGTATGCCCCTGCCAACGAGTCAAATTCACAGGAATGAAACAGAAGTGAGGTCATGGTGACCTTGACCTTTGATCTCTGACCACCAAAATCTAATCATTTCATCTTTGAGTCCAAGTAGACACTTGTGCCAAATTTGAAGAAAGTACTTTAAGGTGTTTTTGAAAATAAAAAACAAGGAGCTCTTAGATGAAAAGAAGACAAGAAGGAAGAAAGGACTGAAGCAAAGAAATAAGGGTGGAAACAAGAAGGAAAGAGAGCAGGAAGGAAAGAAGGAAACAAAGATGGAAGGGATGATATAATGAAAGAAGGAGGAAAGAATGATCAAGAAAAGAAGGAAATTGTTAGTAGAATCAAATTGTTGATTTTGGTCTATTGGGTGATTTATTGACACTAATTAAATCATAGAATATTGTCACAAATGAAATTGTGATGACTTCCATCGTCCTCAGTGTGCAGACAGCACAAGTGATTGGCTCAGCCTTGATTAATTAAGAAGTATGTGGACAAAAAAGCCATAAGAACAGTTAATTTTACACCCTAAAATAAACTTCTAAGTGATTTGCATATGTGCTTGTGTCTGTATGTGTGTGTGAGACCTTGAAAGCAGGCAGCGAATCAATCTTGGGGTCATTGAGCCGGATGGCCTGGAAGGTTCCACTGTGACTGTACTGAACAACTCCCACCCTTGTGCCTGGGGACATAAGAAACCATGTTTAAACATGCTTAATTTGGCAGCCATTTTGAAACTTTTTCTGACATTGCACAGACTGAAAGACTAAATCTGTACATCATTAAATGTGCATCTCACCTGATTCTGACTGGGGATCTTTGGCAAAAGATCCTAGTCTGCTGATGGTGTTGATGACGAAGTTCTTCTCCAGGGTGAAGTTGGTGAGACCCACTGATTCTGAGCTGTCAATCACAAATACAATGTCCAGGGCTCCACAGATCTTCTCACAGTCTGCAGACAAAAACACAGAATAAATTATTCAACAGCTTATTAGAGTGTGCTTTACAGTTTGTCAATAGCTATACAGTGGTAGCCCCACTCACCACAGCAGCCACATGTCTCTCTGATGTAATTCATGACATCACATTCCTGCATAAAGAAACAAAACACTTCATTATATCTTTCTGTTGATGTGCCAGTGATAAAACAGTAGTCGGGGGAGAAGTTCTTACAGTGAGGCCAGGATCTCCCTCAGGGCCTGGATCTCCCTGTAGAGAAAGAGAGCACATAAATCAAATCCTGTCTCAGCTTTTGTCTCATTTTGGATTACCAGTAGATAATACTGATTGGATTACAAGTAAATATAAGTTGCACCCAGCTGGATTTGTGCCAATTTACTTCATCTGCATTAGATCAGTGAATGGGAAAGCACCTGTTTGTGCAGGCTTTGTGTACTTACGTCACGTCCCCCCTCTCCTCTGGGTCCTCTCAGGCCTGGTTCACCCTGAGGCCCTGGCTCACCCTATTGTGAACAAAGAAATCATAAAATGCATCTGTACATACAAGTCTTGCTGAAGTGACAGCACACATTCAACTACAATGTGTTACTTACTGGCTCTCCCGGAGTTCCTTTATTGCCAGGTTCACCCTTTTGACCACAGTCTCCCCTGCTACCACGAGGTCCACGACTACCCTTGTCTCCTCTCTCACCCTGCAGAACAGTGGAAGAAAGATTTGTCAGGTAAGTGTGTCACTCCAGCTAGCCAATGTAAGGAGACAAAGTGCAGTGGGGGGGGGGTCTGTTACCGATGGTCCTCTTGGTCCAGGATAGCTAAAGCCAGGTCTTCCAGGGTCTCCCTGTACAGAGACAAAAATACAGTCAAAGAAACAGAGAACAAAGTAAAAGAATGATGCTACCACATATATGCATACACACAGATACTCACCTTTGGTCCTTGTTGCCCAGGCTCACCTCTTGGTCCAGCATCACCAGGATCACCTCTGGTGCCCTATCAAACAAGCACTACAAGCTAAATACGGCAAGTTTAGATCTGATGACCAAATCTGACCTGTAACCTACATTTCTCCCAGGCTCTCCTGGTGCCCCTGGTGGTCCCCTTGGTCCTGGCAGGCCATTGTCTCCCTGTTCAGAGTAGAGAAAGTCATAGTGTATGGCTTATATAAACAGATACATATCTTTAACAAAAATACATTCTTCTTACCTTTGCTCCTTCGTTCCCAGATTCACCCGAAAGTCCTCTCTGGCCCTCTGGCCCCATTTCACCCTGAAACACACAGTGAAATCAGTACTGAGCCCCCAGTGGTGTAAGTATGTATCTTAGTGAAACAAATCTTTTGAGCCTATGCAAAAAGTTCATAATAAAGAAATGTTTCACACCTGGGAGATTGTCTACATAAATTCATACCTTTTCTCCTTTAATTCCATCAGGTCCTGAAGCACCTTTTGGCCCATAGTCTCCTCTTCTCCCCTAGAATAGAAGAACCTTTAGAAAACCATCTAGCAACACAAAAACAGAAAGACAGAAGGTGTCAAGAGAGAATCAATCATTTTTACTAGCTCTCCTTTGACTCCTGGACCTCCGCGGTCTCCCTAAGAAACACAACACACTGATAAGCCACTTAATACATATGAATGACTATATGTTTTCATTTATTTATCTTTGTGGTGATGAACTGAGTCTCACTGGGTTTCCTTTCAGTCCAGGGATGCCTGGTAATCCAGGACTTCCGCTTTCTCCCTGTGGAAGAAACATCAGATATTAGTACTTTGCCTCCAACTGTTTGACCATTTAATGTGTCCTCTGGCCTTCTATCCCAGCAATGAGCAGCATTGCAATGTACCTTTGGTCCAGGTTCTCCAGATAGGCCAGGGGGACCAGGTCTTCCAGGTCGTCCAGGATCGCCCTGAAAACAGGACATAATTAATGAGGTAGAATTTAACTACAATTTGGATTGAAGATATTTTAAGCAGAGACAAGATAATTTACCTTATCTCCATCAGTTCCAGGAAAGCCACGTTCACCGACGTCTCCAGGGTGACCATTAGGACCCTGCAAACCATTAAACGCACACCATAAATAGGCCATACCACAACCCACTATGAAGGTAGCAGTAATGAGATCTTGTGCCAAATATCATACTGGGTCGCCTGGGTCTCCTTTGCATCCAGGAGCGCCGATTCGTCCAATTTTACCCTAAAAAGAAGACAAGGGAAAAAAATTACAATACAAAAGAATCCCAAAATTATAATAATTATAATTTTTATTTTTGTCATTTTTTTTGTACTTTTTATATCTAGCATTTTGTTCCTTAAATTGGTTAACAAAAGATCCTCCTTGAAGTTTAGTCTTTCACAGTTCCTACCTTCTGTCCATCAGTTCCGTTGCGTCCTGGGATGCCGGCCACACCCTAACAACAATGAGAAGAGGCAATTAGAGGTGAAAAACCAAACGAGAGACTGGGTTGGAAAATAAATTAGAAATAGAAAAAAAGACCTACCTTCATCCCCTGAGCTCCTATCTCTCCCTGTGGGCAGACAGAATATTGATCATTTCATGCACAATGTACCAGTCCCTATTCATTAACAGATTATATATCATCATAATTTGAGCAAATATTATTATTATTAATCAGTAAACCCTGCAATTTATTTGAAAGTTGTTGTTTTTTTATTTATTCTTTCAAGCATGTAAAGACAGTTGATATGACAACACACATGATTGTACACATAATCCAATATCAATTTGCTTATACCTAGTACATGCTTGAATGGAGTTCTACACCACACAAGTAATATACTAAAGAATTATAACAGTGTTAACATTCTTACATAATTACATTCTTAAATAATTCTCTTCTACACCACACAAGTATTATACTAAAAAAATTATAACAGTGTTAACATTCTTACATAATTACATTCTTAAATAATTATCTTCTACACCACACAAGTAATATACTAAAGAATTGTTACAAAGTGTTAACATTCATACAAAGTTTACCATATAAGTCATGCAGTGATGAACTTGATCTACACAAAAGGAAAGTGATACCTTACCTTCTCGCCCTTATCACCCCGCTCTCCCTACACAGAGGAAAAAAGAAAGAGAAATAATTTAATAACAATAATGTCACAAATAACATTTATGTTTCTCAAACTGCTATGAAGTGATGCATGGGTGAAGTCTGGTGTCTTACTTTAGTACCAGGTTGACCAATAGGACCTTCAATACCAGGGTCTCCCTGTTGACCTCTGTCTCCTTTTGGACCTGGTTCCCCATTGTCTCCTTTAGCTCCCTACAGCCAAAAGGAAAAAATGTCTGTGAGGATGAAAGTGACTAGGGTGTAAATTCTGTAAGTATATGAGTGTGAAGCTCACTTTTTGTCCTCTGTGGCCTTTTGGACCAGGAGGCCCTGGTGTCTCTACACAGGACACTTTGTAGCACTGTGTTATACAGAAAATGAAGAGAAACAGTCAGTGACAGTCAGTCTGAGACACCAATGTTCATATTTCAGATCATTAGTTCTGTTGGGTGTATTACCTCTACATACGACAAATGTTGCTGCGAAGGCAAAAGAAACAAGGTGTCAGCAGAAGAGTCAACAATCATGTTTTATGTCTCTGCATGTCTGCCTGTGGGTTACCATTGTCTTGATGATGCGATCAATGGTGTCTGTCTGTATGAGCGGCTTGCCCTGGCTCAGATCCACAGCCATGAAGTTATCCCTGTAGACCGTTGATGGAGAGCTGGCAATCTCTTTCAGCCCTGTTTCGTCAACATTCTTGGATGCAGCCACAACAAAGATCCGGATGTTCTCATCACGAGCCTTCTCTGCTGCTTCCTTGATTCCCTTACATGGGTTTCCAGTCACATGACCGTCAGTGATGACCACAGCAAATCGGAGGGCCCTGGGGTACAAGGGTGATTCTAGGATCTTCCGGGTCATGTTGCTGAGGGCACAGTCAATGTAGGTACCCTTACCTAAGTATGAGATTTTTCTGAGCTCCTGGGAACAGTGATAAGGGTGAGATGTTGTCATCAAGTTGTAATTACCAAACAGACATTTTATTACCTGGGAAATGTATAATTATTTGCTTTTGCCCAAGGGGATAGAGAAGAGGAATGCTATTGCTCTCATATCTGTCTAATAGATATAAGACTATAGTCTGAGGCAGGTTAGCTTCCCTAATCATTAAAACCAGAAACAACTAGCCTAGCTCTGTCTTAAGGTAACAAAATCCACCTACCAGCACCTCTTTAGGTGCAAAAACAACCATTTGACTTGTTATCATGGGTTGTGTGTTATGTGCTATGTGCTATGAACTGTGTCTTGGCAGGGAGCAGCTGCCAGGTAAGCAACAAGGTACGTTGCCAGACATTTACTGCTCCCAGCCAGGAAATATTGTGGCATGTAACTACACTTTGGGTTTTGTATGAATTAAACAAACAAGATATAAACAGTTCATAATATGATGCATTGACAGAGCCTGGCTTGCATACAATAATAGGATGCAGAACTCTGTGATTTCTGAGTATTGTTGTTCCAACACCCATCTCCATTTGGACTATTTAGAGCTGTCAATACATTATTGCCTGGTGCAGCAGAGCTGTCAATACATTATTGCCTGGTGTTTACCAGTGTTTACCAGGTGTTTACCAGTGTTTACCAGTATGTTACCCATGCAATTTCTAGGATAAAAATCATAGTGTCCAAATACATCTCATTTAGCACTTAATTGATTGGTTAAGTACAGAAAACAGTCTAAAAATTCAATCTAATCAAACAATTGAATCTTTAATTTAGTGGTATATGTGAGATGCATCACATCAGCTAACTCTAAATTGGTCCTGTTTTGCCTTCTGTCATTTTGCCTGGTTTGCCTGATACTGACCTTTACTTGCACCTAACTTCCTGCCTGCCTAGCCCGTACTTGTTTTGTATGCCTTTGCCAACTATTAATGCGCCTACCTGAACTACATAAAGAAACTTTGCCTTCTACTTGTTATTGGGTCTTGCTTTTGAGTCCAACTCTCAGAGTCAGAACAGCACATGCACGTATGTACTGTATGTGTGCATGTGTGTCACTCACAGTAATGAACTCATCCTTGGGTGCGAGCTTGCTGAACACCTGTCACTCACAGTAATGAACTCATCCTTGAGTGTGAAGTTGCTGAACACCCTCTGTGTCTGGGAGAAGTGCAGTCCACCGATTTTCCACTTGAGCCGCACAACACCTTTAAATTCAGCATCGTCTAAACGCTGTACAAACTCCTCTGTGAATTTCTACAACAATAAAACACAACATATTATACAACATGGCTAATACAGCCAAATTGGTCAACTGTCATTTCACAATAAAATGGAACTATTGTGCGATCTAGTATTAAACTAGAGCAACCTTGATGCTCTCCACTAGTGATCCAGGGGGCGGCTCCTGCAGAGCAATGGTCTCAGATGTGTCTATGGTGAAGTATACATCTATGGGACATTCGTTCTTCTCTGGAGGCAACACACAAGCACATACACACACACAAAAAAAAAACATTTAAACATTTTACAATTGAAAGACATTTAAATCAAGACAAAGTGTTCCCAAGTCACTAGAACTGTGGCAACATATTAACATGATATGTTACTAAAGCTTGGAAGCGACAAAGATTCTTTCTCGGCACTCACTGTTACACTCTGGTGCCTGGCCATCAGCCAGGGCTCCAAAAAGAAGACAGAGCAGGATGGCCTCTAACCCCAGCATCTTCGTTTTCTCCTGTCTGGCACAAGAAGGAACAAAGCACACGCAACAATCTGTTTCTCTCTGTCTCAAAATTAAACTCATGAAATAATAAGATAAAACAAACAGAAGGCAATTAAGAATCAAGACAATTCACATGGTATATGAGTGTATTAGTATCATCTGATTGCCAAAGTGAATCCCTAATAACCACTGTCATCAGTGACTATTGGGGATAGACTCATCAGAGTCTATGAACAAATGCCTGACTGGTGCCAAGGGAACAAAATGGCTGCCACGGAGTTGCATAACAGAACTGAAGCCATCATATGAGTCCAGCAAGGCTCTTCTTTTGATTGATAGTTTGTCCTTTGTTATCCTCAAAGGGTCGATTTCTTGTACAGTCAGTAGTGCACACAGAATTCCTCAGCACAGATAAAACAAATAAAATCACATAATATTGTTTCAAAAGCCAGTGGCTGCTGGGACAAAGGGTTTTTCACTCTGCATTTTGGCCATCTGAATCTGCAACAGATGGAAGCAACATAAAGTCTTTGAACAGGGGATGACGGGAGTCTGTTAAAATGTTTTGGTACTTTTTCAGGATCCTGTCCTTATGTAGGTTAGAAAGGTCATTAAATGCATACCTTGAAAATACCCTGCAGCCTATTACTGTTTTTAAACCTAACTGATTTGGCAAACAAAAGAAAAAGTAAGAAGAGATTCTATAAAATATGAGTAAAACATCTTCATAAAAGTTCCATCAACATTAAAATTCTGAAGCTTTCGAAGAAGGAACATAGGCTTTCTTCCAAACAGCATCAACTTGTGGTTCAAAGGTCAGTTTGTCATCAGTGATAGTACCTAAATATTTGTACTGCTGTACTACCTCAAAAACTGGATCATTGATCTTTTGGTTTATTAATAAAAACTGTAATAACAGACATGTGACTGATGTCAACCTCATGTATTTTACTAAACATAGCTCTTAACGTGCTGCCAAACAACACCCATTACCTATGGATGTTCAGATCTATTAAATCTATTTAGGCCTGAGGATAAATTCACTGTTTTACCAAAGGAAATGTCCAAGCCCAAAGACAGCAAAATTTGATTAATTATCTAACACCTCATCCTTTCAACCTATGGAAAAACTTCACAAATATTGCTTTCGGTGGAAAAATGAACAGTCTGGTTGTATTTGACAGAGACCAGGCTGCTAATTGAATATACTGTAATTAGCATCACATTTTGGTTTAAACCACAAGATTTGTCAAAGCCTCAGTCCACTCCCCTCCAGAGGATTTCCCTACCTTCAAATGGGTGAAATTGGGTTCACTGGGTGTCATGACTCGATTAACCCATTAGGGGGCCTTGATGCTCTGATCTGTGGTTTTAATTTGGTATAAATGAATATAAATATGCAAAAGGCAGGTGATAATGTATAATCTGTCATTTATCATTTGAGCTGTAGATAATCACCTTTATTTGGCTAAGTATGTGACACACACAAGGAATTTGTTTCTGGTACAGAACCGAGGCAGCCACCTGTGGCACCAACTCACACCGATGGCTCTAACTATCGGGGGTAACTTCGGGGTTTAGAGTCAAATCGAGGCCTCTAACCATCGGAGGCAACTTGCGGGTTCAGTGTCCAAGATTCGAACCTCCGACCCGCCGGTTGGGAGACGACTGCTCCACCCACTGAACCACAGTAGCCCCCATATTAATTAAAGTATATTACCACAAACTGACCACATCCAGGGGTCGCTCTACATGATACTACAGCCAACATGTCAGCAAAGTGTAGGGGTGGTCTAGTGCCTATCCACCACCCCTAGTGCACATCTACACTGGAGCTCGAAACCCAACAGGTATCATCCACTGATGCCCGCTACAACAAACTGTGTTCTACTGCAAATAATCACCTTTATGAGGAAATGCTAACTGAATAATAATTACACAGCATGCATTACATTTTAAATCCAACATTTTATCGCTGAATTCCACCTTTTCAGTCGAGCAATGTACACAAACATTTCGTACTTCAAGTTTTTTTTTGTTTTTGCAAAGCAAGTGAAATACAACTTGAATTCTAATTAGCTCAGACTTGCTTGTGGCTTTTTTCTATCCAGCACTACTTTCAGAGTAATTCTTTAATAGGCCTTTTTGAACTATCATTTTAAGTGTGCACACCAACCAATGGGCTGTGGCCCCCTCTAGCGGACAGACAGCTGCAATCTACGAGTTGTCCCTGCAGATGTTCCCACTCCTCTCCTGCTGTCCAGGCCAGGGATAGAGTGGGAGTTCTCGTAAGTTTTCATCACTGCACAGATAATTATGATGCGAAAGTGTGCAGCGATTACAGCATAGGCCAGTTCATGTCAGTTTTAGTTTGTTTTTGATTTTGTGGATTTCAGAGTTTGTTTGGTTTGGTTGAGAAAACCAACATTTCAGCTAATGAAAGATTTAGGCTTAGGAAGGTTTTAGGGCATGAAAAGAGGCAGATGGAAAGACGATCAGAGATATACAGGGGGAAGGGAGAGAAACGGGGAGAGCAGAGTTTGGCGCATTGCTGTGCGTAAAAGTGCAGCTTACCCGGACTCTTCCCAGCAACTTCAAAACTTTGTGAGCAGCAAATCCTCTGCTGATTATGTCCTCATCTCAACAGGACGGAAAGCCGAGAATAAAGAGGATAGACACTGGAGGAAGAAAGTGGAAATTAAGCCCTGGATGCGCGTTTACTTGCCGCAGAAGAACCGTCCGTTCGCTCTCCTGTCCCGGTCCCGTCAGAAACAGGCTCTGGTCCCTCCCACACGCACACACACGTAACAACCCTTGCTTGTGTCTGGTGGTCTGTTTGTCCGCTTGGAGGCGCCGTGGCTCCGCGGGAACATGTGTGTGCGCGTGCGTGTGCACAGGCGGCCTATATGCACCAAGAAAGGAGGTTGCCAAAGCGTAGCAGGACTTTTGAACAGTTTACCCCCTCGAAGACGCATTAAACTCCACAAACATTTGTCCGGTTAGCATCACGAGATGTGACAACTTTATGGACGTGGCCGTCAGCTGGACACATGGCGCAACTCTGGGCACAGTGTCCATGTCCCTGAGACAGAGCATTTATGAAGCTTTGCAGTTAACTTCATGCATGTGCTGAGTCAGAGTGAAATAAAACATGATAAGGCACAGACATAACCCCCACACACGTGAACACACACGCACACACACGTAACAACCCTTGCTTGTGTCTGGTGGTCTGTTTGTAATTAGTAAGGCGAGTGAGATGAGTTTATACTCAATATGTAAACACTGACAAACTGACCATGAGTCTGCTCTCCATGGTTATGTTTATGCATGTAGGTGCTTCAGTTTTTAGCTTTGTATGTGTTTGAGTGTTTGTGTACAGGATGGGAGGTCTTCCCTTCAAAGGATTTACCATATCTGTACACACCTGCAATTGCATTTTCACCTACCCATGTACAGTAAGACTGACTGCAGCAGCAGTAACACTGGTTGAACCTGCTGTAACTGTCCAGTTAGTCTGATTTTTTTTTATATGGCCTGCAGAGCTGCCAATACATTAACTAGGCACACTGCCACTACTGCATTATCCAGCGCATAACACAGGAGACTTTTGTATCCATGTCCACATCTGTTTCATAATAGGTTATCAAAATAAAGAAGGTGTTCATTTAGATGAAATCAGTATGGAAGATGTTGATGTGAATGACATAAATCATCCAGAGAACTATTTGGAAGCCACATCATGTCAAATGTGCATTCAGATAAAAGTTTCCCCCTGAACTCTGATGTAAAGGTTTGATCTTTACAGACAGTGAGATGTAATGAACGTATACAAGCACATTTCAACATTGAAGTTCTTCCTTCCCTTTGCAATTTAAGTTTATCTGATAGCACACAGGGTTACTGACTTTTTGGAAGTGGTTGGAGTTGAAACAGCAGTCAGGATTTTGACAAGGCAACCAAGTAGGAGAGAGGGGATCAGAGGAAAAGGAGGAGGAGGACGCCAGCTGTTGACTAGAGTTATTACTGTGAGCTCTTCTGTCTTGGACAGAGTAGGGTTTTTCCTTAAAAAGAGAAGAGGAGAGCAGTGGCGCAATATGCTTGTGTGTGTGTATGTGATGGAGAGATGTGGAGGTTGGGAGGCAGGGTTCTGGTCTCTCTTAAAACCGTGACTCATAGAAAAGGAATGACCTTCCTCCAAAATGGGGGTAGGCCAGTCTGTCCTTCTCTCATTCTGTCGTTCCCACACATTCTCTCTCACTCTTAAAGTTTTTTTTAATTTTTTATTTCTTTCACATGAACTAAAAGAGCATTTTAGTCTGGGGGGATTTCTGCATAATCAGTTCCAGAGTCATAAACAGCTCAACAGTGCCAACATCACTACAACATTTTTCTTACTGCTCCACAGAAAACACACAGAGAACAATTTGCTTCATAAGCAAACAATTGAAACATAAGAGCAAATCAAACATATGCATATAAATGCATGTGCACACAGCCAGAAAACAAACATGTTCATGTTGTCTGCAGCTGCAAAAATGAGCACAATGACAGCTCTTAAGGCAGTCCTATCGCTATGACTCCATTTGTGTATGCAGGTGAAGTACATCTTCAAGATGTTCCTCAGTGCAGCTCCTGAAACAAAAATGCTATTTAAGAACAAATCATTGGGATATTACACTGGCCTTAGGATAAAGGCCTTTTCCTTTTTGCTTTGTTTTGCAATCTTTTCCCTCCTTTTCTCCAGATGTGCTCGCTGTTCAGACATTCATCTGGGAATCGTTACCCCAGTACATCACACACACACTATTGTGTGCTCATGATATACACATGGCCAAGTCCATGTGTGAAACGTAGGCCATTTCCAGTGGATTTCAGTGGAAATGTTATGCTGACTTTGGAGAATAAGCTGCTAATGAGAGGTCCAGTCGCTTTGGCTGCAGAAAACTGGAGGAAGGGGGAACTTGGAAGAAACCTTGCATACACAATACACAAACACACACAAATCAGACAGACATACATGCACACATGCTGTAAATCACACACAGAAATGTACATCACGAAGCATGTAGTCACACCCTGCACATCTGCACACATAAACAAGCGCAAATCCAGGATGTACACTCTGATAAGTGTAGTTTTGGCTCTAGCCTTTCAAGAATGACTTACACACAGGAAGAGCTGTATACACAAACACACACACACACAAATACACTCAGAGCAGTGGCCCAAAATCAGGCCCACAGGAAGACAGCAGGCAAATAACTCAAACTGAAACAGTTCCACTGAAATTCTACTGTAGTCTAGGTGTTAGATTTAATATAAAACATGTCTCTTAGCTTGTTTAGTCATAGAGAGGAAGAAAATTTAACATCGATGTGTCCATAAACAATACAAAGATGTCTGCAGTGATACACCCCTGACCTCTGACAGAGGGACTGATTCTTCTTCTGCCCTTCTTTAATGGCATGTCAAAGGTCAGACTCGGGTGCAGCATAACAGCCCTGGAACTGGTAGATATTCACTGTGTTGCTTCTTGCTGACACAGCGGTTTTGACTTGTGTGTCTTCGCTGTCACTCTGTTGCACTCAAAGATGAGACAGAATTAGTGTTTGGTTAAAAGAAAATTCTGCTTTTATTTACAACTTGGATATTAATTTAATAATGTTGTACATGTTGCCATGTAGTTAATAGCTGTGATTAGAGAACATAAAGCACCTTTACATGCTCACACTGACAATGCTAACATGCTGCTGTTTAGCAGGTCATGATGACCATGGTCGCCATCTTAGTTTAGCCTGCTAATTCATCCCATAGTAGCCGAGACATTTCACTGTGATCCAGTAGTGTTAGCCTGCTTGGGAATACATCAGGGGGTGGCCAAAGTCAGTCAGATTTATCTTCTGGGGATCATGAATGAATTAATGCACAAGGTTTTTTGTCCAGTAGTTTCTTGAGATATTTCAATCTTGAGACAAAAGTGTGCACATGAACTGACATTGTTATCCAGTGTTGCCATATAGATAGCCTGTTGTTACATAACACTTCCTATAGTGCTGGTATGAGTAGATGTGTGCTCTTAAAGGTTTTTGTTAATCACATAAAATAATGACAAGTAGGAAAATGTTTCGACTGCTCTCTGCATGCTTACATGCTCCCAACAATAATACCACAACACTGATGTTCATCAGGTACAGTGATGTGCACCACCATCTTAGTTTAATGTGATAGCTTGCTAACATTTGTTAACTAGTACAAAGTTGTCCTACACCAAAGAAAATTAAAATTACAATATTTACTGATTCTGGTATAAAAATCAGGGGATCACCGACATTTGAGGGGTCATAGTTAAACATGCAGTGCTCGAGTTTCATAAAGAAAATATCTATGTTAAAAGAGGATTTGTAGAGGAGTATTTATGCATGTATACATGGAAATATATATTTTTAAATTGGTTTACAGTTTGCATGTCTGTTTTGTCTGTGTGTCAGTATGGACAAAAGTGAGTCGAGACACTCTAGTGTAGCAACCTTTATTGAAGGAGCTCTTATAACGCTACTGAAGATGTGTATCCTCAGGTAGAAAAAATCTTCTTTAACAACATGGGTAGAGGCTGATACACTGAGACTAATAGCACCACAGATAATAGCAACAGTACAGTGACTCTGGGCCACCGATGACAACAAAATCCCGGGTGTGGACTTTACAAACAAGAGGATCTAAAAGGTGTGTGTGTTTTCTGTGAGTGTGTTGGTGTGAGAGACTCTTAGTGTGAGTCCCATTAGGTTTTCTTTCCAGCCTTCAACCAGGACAGATGTTTTCCTTTACCTCACAAATGGAGTACAAAGGTGTGTGTGTGTGTGTGTTTGACAGAGGTCTAAGGAACAGGTTTCTGTCATTCTGACATTTGATCCAGAGGTCCCTGCACATCTGTTTATGGAGCAATTGCCCAAAGCTACACATAAACATTTTTAAAAATCACATCAGGTAAACGATGTACACACATAGGTCCCCACACACACATGCTGATACACACTCTGACAGAATACATATGTTGAGTTCAGCTGTCATGCCCACATTAGTACCAGGTGCTTATGGGTTTTGTTTGATGTCACATCCTGTTTGCCCTGTCGGTTTGGTGATCTAATCGGGCTTTCAAGTGATGTCGGATGGGAGTTTCACCAAGTTGGGAATACATAATCAATTTTACAGCTGACTTTTCCAATATGCATTACATTGGCACTAAAAAAAAGTTGACTGGCCAATCATGAGACACAGCAGGCACCCACCCCAGATTTTGTATTTGTAAGTGTTTGATTCACAGCTTTCATGGGTTAATTTGTGTTCTTATGGTGTGCACATCCGACACCACTTGAAAAAGTGGTAAGAACTACAAACATGAGTCCACATATGACCCTAAACAATCCATCAGATGGCAGGAGTTCCAGTCCTGGTGAGACAAGAGTGTAGCCTTGATGTGCATTAGTTAGCTGAAGTAGTGATACAGGAATCCTGAGTTGTAAATCAGCCCAATGCTTATGAACACTAGAAACAAGTTTCACTGTGGCCATTTCTGATGGCGTTCCAGGACTGAAGTGGCTCCTTTTGAAATGGGATTTTATCACCCTGAACTGTTCCTCCCAGGCAGAAATAACTTCCAACTGTACACTGTCATGACAAGCTCTAAATTCTAAAATAGTTTAGCACCAGCACTTCAGTTATGGGATAACGAATGAAGCATAGTAGGTGGTGGAATTTGTACACAGGCTGATATGGTCAACGCGGGAGGCTCAGCTCAGGGTAAAAAAGTCCCATGGACATTTCAAGAAAATATTTCCATTTATCTGCCACACAATCATTTGTCGTTTTGTGACACTTTTTCTTTTTCTTTATTACAAAGTATTTGAACACAGTGTATGGTAAATGTGTGAGACTGAATATTTATAATGGGACTAAAAATCTAAAGCATGTTGGTCCTGTTGTTTGAAGCCCTACATTTAAGGCATGGACACCCTGCGGGAGACGGTTTGGTAGAAGACCCCGCGAAGCAGGGATGGGTAGTCTGAGACACGGAACAGGTGGCGCTGGGCATAGGTCATGTTGTCCGGCCGCCCCTTGCTTACCAGTGTGCGCAGGTTGACCTCATTGACCTGGTTGCCAACAGCGATGACAAAGAGCTCCACACCAGCATCCGCCACCTCGCGTACACGCTTCTCCAGCACAGGCTGGGTGACAGCCTGAGACCTGCCATCAGAGAACAGCACCAGCTTCTTGGTGCCTCCCGATGCATCCCCACGGCCACGTAAAGTTGTAATGGCAAACTGCATGGCCTCTAACACATTGGTGCCATCATTCTGGAAGGCTGCCTCTTCAATGCGTTGAGACAGCAGGGTCAAATTGGTAGTCAGCCCCTGCTCCAGGTTGGCGTTTCGACTGTACTGGGCCGCACCCACTCTGACCGTGGCACCTCTCTGTTTCTCTGCAGTCAGGAAACGATCGGCCATGTGGCGGACAAAGGCCTTGCTTATCTCAAAGTTCTTCTGGCCTACGCTGGCCGAGCTGTCCATCATCATCAAAATATCAGCACCTGCCCTGAAAGATACTGCAGCACACACACGCATGGTACAAGACATATAATCAGTAGTTGTTTCCAGTGGCTCTGTACATGACAGACTAGATAGATAAAAAGGTGCAACACAGTTGAAACAGCATTTATACATTTTCAATTCACTTGTACATATTATGGTTTTAAAATATATTCAGTTGTTTTTTTTTTCTGTGCAATATGGACAAAATGTCACCCTAAGTCAACAGCAGTAAGGTAAGGTAAACTTTAGACAGAGCAAACCAGTACATCCAGCAGTGAAACAAAGAACATAATAAAAAAGAAAAAAAAAAGACTTACTGGGACATTTGTAGTCTGGGCATTTCTTAGCTATACAAGAGAACAACAGGGGTTAAGTGAGATTTTTTAGAGTTGGTACAAAATTCAGTTGATGGAAATGACCAACAGTGTTTGTTTGCTTGTGTGCAGTTACTGTATCTGTATGTGTTTACCTTGACAAATTGTGGATGTGAGGTTCTGCAGGAAGGCGTCATTCAGCAGCTCAGCAAAGTTCTCCAGGACTAAGGAAATGCCGGGTTTGGGGTCACTCTTACAGGCTAGGTCTCCAATCTGCTCTGGGTTGGGCTCACGGCCAGAGTAGTCCTTCACTCCTAAACCAACCACCTGGAGATGACCAAAGAGGTTCTTAGGTTAGCTGGTCCTTCATTATTTTAGTTACAGAGCATGACACGGACCTTTACAATGTCTGTCTAGGTGTGTTGTACTCACGTTTAGGTTTTGACCACAGAGTACATTGAGGGGAACTCTGTCCCTGGTAATATCAGAGCGTCCATCAGTGAGAACGAGAACGACTCGGTTCTCTTTCTTCATCAGCTTAATTGTTCTGGTCAGAGCAAAATCAAGGGCCTCGCCTGTGTATGTGGCCTCAGCCAGCCAGCGCAAGCCTCTCACTGCCCTGCAAACACACACACAAGCACACAGAGAAAATTGATGACAAAAAAAATGACATAAAACTGTCCAACATAAGCAATTAGGCTTGTTTACTGCCTTGTCCAGAATGAAATGAGACAGTTGATATTATTGTCCGCTGATATTAATGTATACTATACGTATATTGTAGGTCTGCATTATGTTCACAGTATGGCTTAGAGCAAAGCCTTGGAGCAGAATTTAACTGTTAACCATAGTAAATGATAAAATATGTGTACAAGTTTGAAAAGACTCAAATTTACATGTAGGATCTGGTTAGCTAGCAGACATATCACCACTCCATACAAGAGATAGCTCCAGTATGCTGGTTAAATTCAAAAATGGATCTTATTTGTTATAGGATTAAGGTTAACCCCACTAGACCCAAAAAAGAAAGCGGGGTACATATGACACTTGATTTCCCAGCATAGAAAATAGGAAAACAGCTACAGTAGCATGGCTCTTTTCAAAGTAACACACCTAAAGTAACAGCATCTCTAAAGCACTAGCACTAGCACATACATATAAATACTTAGCCTACCTACTCCAAAACATTAAATTTTTCAGTTTCCATACACATTAAATAAACTAGGTATGTAAATAGTTAATTTGTAGATGTGTTAATAGGCATACAGCCTACATTTGAACTTTAGGACAGCAGAGCTAGCAGTTGTACTCTGCTTTCAGTCTTTATGCTAATTAAACTAATCACCACCTAGTCCAGCTTTACTCTTGGAGAGAAAGAAAATATGTGTTTTCCCTCTGCTTTCAGTCTTTATGCTAATTAAACCAATCACCACCTAGTCCAGCTCTACTCTTGGAGAGAAAGAAAATGTGAAACAGTTCTTTTAAACTACGATGACACCCAGCTCCAGAGATGTTGGAAAGTTCGGCTAAACGCTTTTGCCTCGCTATGCTAGGCTGAACTTGGAGAGGACTACGAATTTACTGCAAACACAGTGGATTTTCTTCCAAATACTTTCTGACATATGTAGAATGGAGATATTTTCAAAGTGGGTGTAGTTTGGTGAGGATGTAACTAATGAAACCAAACCTCAGTAGCAGTGGTAATACTGAATCATCATGAATCACCATTACACTACACACTCAGAGAGCAAGCCACAGGCGAGATTCTAGGCGCATGCATGTGAACTCACTCTTTAAAATCGTGGAGGTTGTTAGTGTTGAAACCCAGTCGGACAATTTCTTGGGCTTTCGATCCACTGTACTGGACTACACTCACCCCAGATTCATTAGCTGCAAACTGGAAAGAAAAACAACGCATGGTGACTGTGCTTTTGGTCTGTGTGTGCTGTGTCTACGAGCATGTGTTTTTTTGTGTCAACATCCCACCCATCCTGACTAATTATATCCAAACTGGAAGAGCAAAGTCATTGCAGGGACATAAAAGCAAAGTCCAAAACCATAGACAATATCTTTCATTCACACTTTATATTTTTAGGTCCATTCTCAAGGCAAACATTTTCTAACATCTCTGAAAAACAGTTTTCACTGCATTGTTGGCATTATTTTGAATAAACAGTCCATAAAGGTTAAATGTTGGTTACCCTACAGAAGTTAGACAAAGACTGATGAATATGAAATACAGTTTAGTCAAAGGTCAAAACCTGTTGAGAGGAGGATGTTACCTTGACGTGCTGATCTTTGATCAGTCTGTCTATGACAGTGATGATAAAGTCTTTGGCAAGGCGAAAGTTTTCTTCACCGATACTCTCTGAGCTGTCCACAATGAACGCCAGGTCTAGAGGAGCACACTTACACTCTGAAGACAGAGAAAGCACACACACAAACAATTTCACAAACGATCACACTAGCCATAGAATAAACTGTAGGAAATAATTATAATAATGACTCTATCTTAGACTGGGCACAAACTTACCACAACAAGCTGCCAAGTGATTAGAAAAGGACAGAAAAAAATGTTAATTGATGGTGCATAAAAAATGTAACACAACGTGACCAGCTAATCAGGCCCTGAGTTAAAAAGGGCAAAGTGTTTAACATAGAGTACATGTGGTTTCTCTCCTGTGTGTGTGTGTGTGTGTATAACTTACAGCAGAGCTTCATGATGATATCCAGAATTTCACATTCCTGAAGAGAGAGGTTGATATTACAGGCTGGTAATGCATTACTAAATTGCATTATATAACATTCAAATACAACATTCATCTAGGGTCTAGACTGGTTCTTTTAGCTGCTTCTAAAGAAAACATGACAATAGTAACATTTTACTTAGAAGACTGGTCAGTTATGTGTTTTTGTGTTCAGCAAATTGGGTTTGTGGCTTGGAATGAGCCTGTTTCAGGTTCAAAACCAGCACGGACTTTAAGGGGAACTAAGCCAATGGAGTTAAGCCATCCAGTCCTGCAGCTAAAATGAGGGTGAGGATTCACATTAAATGAACTGCTTCACTGTTTTTAATACTCACATCAGTTCCTGGTGGTCCAGGAGGCCCAGGAGGTCCCTGAAAAGAAGAACTGGAGACTGAGTGATTCATCTCCCTGATAGATGTTTGTGTTTATCTGTTTGGAAAAAAAAAAACCTGCCCAAAATACAGTTTATCTGGTCTGACGTTAAGATGACAGAGACTCCCGGAAAAGTTTTTTTAAAATCTGGGATATAAAAATTGGTGATTTGTTTGGAAAACCATTACTTCTTTGACTGCAAACCAGAACCCACATCCACACCCACACATTTGTGTGCACTGCTGACTTTCTGCAACGTGTGAGTCTCCCACAGGTTAATTGCCACAGCATTGTGTTTTTTCACTTGCTTGCATTGAAACCATCTGTTTTGTTTTAACAAACATTGCCCTCAGTTTAGGAACATTTTTGCTGTGACATGGACGCCCGAGTCGCGTAACACATAAACAAGAAAGAAAAGAGAGGGAGCGGAAGGGAGAGCTAGATTTTTATTGCAGACAGACAAACCCAGGAACACACGATGGAAACTGTTCATAATTAAATGTGCAGCAAAGACAAAAGCCAGAGGAGAAGCAGAAAGAAGAAGGAGGAACACGAGGAAGAGAAACAAACTGGTAAAGTGTGAATGGGCAGTTATACACAGTGTCATATCTGGATCAAACATTGTTAATTTTTTGCACAATAATTGACTGGGGAATTACCTTTCCTCAGTGTGTGGTTTTGGTGTTATGTTGACTGGTGGGATTAGCTAAGCTTAGCTCAGTAACTTCCTCCTCCTTCCTTAAACTAGGAGTGATCTTCTATAAATTTCTTTTTGGCAGCAACCCCCACCCCAAAAGCAGCAATGAACTGATCCTAATAACTAGTAGCACATGTCTAGCCAAAGTCTGTTAAAGCTGATGCCGACTGTTCAAATCAATTAAAAACATATCAATTAGTCATAGCATGATAGTAGGTAACATGTTCCTTTAGAGGTATTGTAGTTCATTTTACTTACTGCCCCGGTGCTGTAAATACTTACATCAAATGTATAAAGGTATCACATGTATGAATCCACAGCTGAAAAGAGTTCCTGGCAAATCCACTGTTTACTTATGTTACAGTAGTATCTGCTAAAAAGTGTATTTGTTAACTGTTTTTAAATATTTACATCTTCAGTAGTAACAAGTGAGCTTGGGGCAAAGTGGCATAGACAGGCTGAAGAGCTGGAGTGAATTAGCTGGCATTATGACAAGCCTTATTCTTTAAATTAGTGCAAATTCTAGGCATTACATGATTGCTTACTACTCTTGTTCCTGCCACTGTGGCTGTGTATGATCTGACATTTGATGTAATCTTACTGAGTGAAATGAGTAGATTTTAAAATGTGTAAATTACTTAAAATGCCATTTTCAATTGCGCTAACCTAGACTGAGTTTCAACATAATTTCAAACCAAGGCCATTTCCCACTTTAGGTTTTTAGGAGAAATCTAAATGACCACAAAACTACGTATGAATACGTAGGGTCTACTTTGCATGTATGGACGCGGACAGTAGTCACTCCAGTGTCTCAACTTACATACACATGCAGACAAACCAATAGACACACGTGCACACACACATCAACACATGTCCTGGCTCCATGGTATTCTTACCAGTTGACCCTCGGGTCCTCTGTGACCTTTGGCCCCTTTAGGTCCTGGAGGTCCAAGGTCATTGTTCTGTGAAAAGAAAAAATTATACAGAGATTAAGAGAGAGGTCCAAACCTGTACATACTTCTTTTTTTAATATATATATTTTTTCAGACTATAGGATGAAAACATGTTATAATGACAGACACAACTAGTGTTTTACAGAGTTAACTACTTGCAATGCAATTTGTTTAGGATGTGTTCAGCTCTTTGCACTAAATATGGCATGAATATGGTTTAAAACTGATATCCAAATAAGTGTTGGCTACTGAAATAAATTATTAAAAACATGGGAAAGTAACTGTTTTAGAGTAATAGATCCAGAAGAATAAAGTAAACCTACCCTGTCTAAATAAAGGTTAAAAAAAGACACAAAGAAAGGTTTACTGCCAAATAAGGTGGTGCTAATCCAAATGAAATAGTATGTGATTAAAGGTGCCGGAAAAGCCATTCCAGTAGTTTAGTCTGAATGACATAAATGAATGAATGAAAACTTCTGCATCTGATTAAATGTGTGGGTGTGTAGACCTAAAACGACACCTGCTCTGACAATTTGACATAAATAGAAAAAAGCTTTGTTGGTGACATAAAGGTGGCACCCAGATGCTTCACTTTTGTTTTTGGTAAGATATTACCAGACATGTTCTAGGCACAGGGTTACATTTGAAAAATTAGAGGAGAGTCAATCATGAATCCACTTTCATCTCTATTGAGATGAAGAAAGTTTTCACCCACTTAAAAAGTGGTTAAACACTTATCTTATAGAAATAATCTGGACTATATGCAATAGCAATGCAAATGTGGGTGTCATCAGCATTTCCATGAAATTTACAAAGGACACTATGAAATAGTGGCATTTACAGTGAGAAAAGTAATGGTCCTAACAAGGAGCCTTGGGGTACTCCCAGTGAAAAGATTGTGACCCTGAGAGAATTGTTTATATACAGTATGACAATGTGTCTTAAGATATTCATAAAGAATTATGTAAACGGTAGTTTAAGCAGTTAAGTAATCAGGCTCCCAAAGGAGTTTAAGTGATTTTAACAGTAGAGACTCAACATTAACTACATTAACTACAATTATTTGGTTGTTTACTTTGCTGATTAAGAGGGAACTTCAGTCATTTCTTTATTTCAGCTGATCCAAAGGCCTACAAACCTCCAAAATGTGATAAAGTCCTTTCATCTACACTTTAACTTATTTTTACTTTGGACCTTTACTTGCACCTAAGTAAAACTTTCCATCACTATTTAACAATATTTTGTTCCACAAAGACTTTTCAGAAGAAGTGTCATAACTGAACACTTCCAACAGGTTCAGTCATTCCAAGAAAAGCCACTAAATCCCTGTTAAATCTTAACAGCAGCCAGGTCCGGTCCTCTCTGGCCAACTATCTGCCACGCCAGTGCAGCTGCAGGAACAGAGAGTGGTCAGTGCTCCGGCAGCTGCTGCACTCTGAACCACAACTTATTGCTGTGAGATTATAAACCATACTACACAAGTGGGAACAATAAAGAGCATAACACTGTAAATCGATTTAGGAAATAGTCCCATGTTTAAATTCCATGTTCCCACAGATACTGTTACATGCTTTAAAGAAATGTGGGCAGTTCTGTTTAAGGAAGACAGCTCAGCAGTTTCAGAACATTTCCAAATAATGTAAAATTGCACGTTTTTTGGATAATGATGTTATGCTCCAGATTCAGCTTTGAAAACAGCTTGCAAATACATGCAGATTCAAGGTTAGGGTCAATTTTAAGAAAGTAATCAAGTACAATAGTAAACCTTTAAACACGCTCACTTTTGTAAAAAGCTGCATGTAGTCTCTCCATTATAAACACATTGTGTAAAAAATGTGACTCCTCAATCCTAAAGACCATTTATAGGCAAACTGTAACCTTTATCTCTCAGATATACTCTGAGTACTCACATAAATACTGCAGCTCAGCATGCCAGACAGAAATGAAATGCACTGAGGGCAAAGGGCCAGGCCGACAGTATAAAGTGACAAGTGATCACAACAAATCTTTTCTGCTCTTTGATCTGACACACACCAGCAGAACTGCACTTCTGCTACACAACCATCTACCAACAGTGGACAGATATGAAAGAGAGGGAGAGGAACAGAGAACAGGTAATACCAACCATCTGGCTGTTAACACATGCATAGTGAACACTGAATTAGAACACGCACACATACACGAGTTTCCAGTTGCTGCACATTCTCAACTTTAAACACTGATGCAAAGAACATGGGCCACGTCATCCACAGGTACACACAAATGTCCTATTTAAAAGCCAGCCAGATGTGACTGTTTGTTGTGCCTTGTCCAATATGTATATGTTATCATTCCAAAGCACATTAGCTAAAAAGCTAAAAAAGGTCAAAGGCCCTGTCTCCACCTTTATCTTCTTTGGCTCATCTATCTCATCCTGTCCCCTCTGGCCAGAGAAAGTCCGGGCAACAAAGTACATATCTCTACAGTGTGAAAGTATTTAAACAATTTAAAGTAGAAATTCAATTTTTCAAAAATCACAGTGAAACCAGTGACTAGATTCTCTGAAAATGTTGATAACCAGTTTGATGTCTCACAATTCAAGTCAAATTGATTCCACTGTACTATCTAAAATAATGAAAGACAAAAAAAAATTGTGGAAACAAAGCAGTGACTTTTCAGAACAAAAAAAGACAGATAAATGTGTCTGGGGATACGTGGAATCAAAAGGATTCATTTTTTCCACCGAGACAGACAAAAATTTTTAAAGGATCTGGTCATAGAACAGGGAACATTAGGAGACAGCAGTTCAAAATTTAAGGAAATATGCTTATTCACTTTCATGCTGTTTGTTGCAGTAGATGAGAAAACTGGTCCAATCTCTCTGTGCTAAGCTAACCAGCTGCTGGCTGCAGCCATGTATGTAGGTGAGAGTGACATCAATGTACATCAAGACATAAGCACATGTCTAGAAAATGTAAGAGTGGAGCTCATTAGAGCACTGTTTGGCTGATTTTACATGTTTTAGCCCATTTACCTTACATTTCTGCCGACTATTTTCCAAAGCATGCCACAAGTTTTGTAGACTGTGGCATGATGTTAATTATTTCTATTTCAGTGAAGCAACAAAGAAGTAATTTTTACAATAAGATTTTGTGAAGATCACAAAACCTTTTCTTTTGAACTGGCTTGGCATGTTTTGAGTCTGTGATGTGGCACTTTGTAATCACGCAGTTCATCAACGCAGCTATAGAATCAATTACAGAGGTTGTGAGATGTTTCCCGGCTGCTGCTGTCACTACTCAGGTACAAACAACAAATGGACAAAGTAAACACTGGGGTGAAGGGGTGAATTATACTGTACTTCTGCAACTAATCCTTCCCTGTGTTACAGTACCACAAAGTCTTGATCGGTGGTAAACTGAGAGCTTACCAAGTACAACTCCTCTAGAAGACAACAGTTCAGGGGGCTTAGACGAAACCATAATACAAACGTGCAGAAATGTTTATGTCACGAAACATGAACTCTGTAAATACAATCTTTTCCGTGTAAACACAACTAATGGGGGTTAAAGTGTTAAAAATTATACCATATATGAACACGAATGACCACACATAGGTACAGTTGTCAAACACACACACATGCAGACACCAAAAAAGTAACGCAGTCCCTTCATTATTGCTACTCATTTCCTGGTATCCCTGACAACGACATCTACACACAGCTGCATCAGCTCAAAGCTCTTTACCCCAGTGACACACACATAAAATTGCTCAGCTCTACTTAAGAAAGCATTTCCAGCTGCAGAACAGAAGGAGAGCAGTGAGAACAAGATTGATAGACAGCAAAAAAAAATATAACAAAGTATGTCAAGGGCTAATGCGGACAAACAAAATAAAAGACAAAAAATAATAGAAGAAACATATGATTAATTATAATATATTAATTATAAATATTAAAAGAGAGCAATAAAAAGAAATGAAAATAGGCCATGTGACTCACATCCTCTCTGCACACTCTGCCAAAAGGGGACGGAAGAGAGATAAAACGAGGTCATGAGTGAAACGAACTTTAAACAGAGACAGAGACAAACTCACATCAGGGCCTGGATCCCCAGGCTCTCCATCATCTCCTTTGGGTCCAGGGGTTCCCTTGCCACCCTGAATGTCACCAAGCAAATGTTAGAGGTCACAGGGGCATGTGAGTATGACAACTGCTTTTTAGCAGAGAGCATCAGGTTTATAACAAGTCACAGCAACAACCCGATTCTCAAGTTAAAAAGAAAACTTGATCGATAACCTACCGGCTCACCAGGATCACCACGGGGGCCAGGATAACCCTAAAAAGAGACAAATGTTCAGAATCTACAAATTTAACATTGGCAAAGTGTCTAAAAAATGACATGCATTAAATAGTAACACATACCTGGAAACCAGGACAACCTGCAGTGCCATTCCCTGGAACACCATCCCCTCCCTGGAAATAAGACAGAAAAATACTTAGAGATCTATCTACACACAGAGAAACATCTACATACTGTATGCAAGCCTCATGACAGAGCTTATCATGGATGACAAGCATCTGTCTCTCCCACACTCACCCTCTCGCCTATCTGGCCTCTGTCTCCTGGAGCTCCTTTGATTCCTCTTGGTCCTTTGGGTCCCTGGAAGCCAAAAGCAACTACATGATTAGAAACATATGAAATGTAACGTGTGTGTCTGGACACAGTGTGACAGTGGGTGTTAATGAAAACACTAAAACACTTGACGTGGAAGAGAAGGACTTTTAACTGCATATGTACTGTAACAATCAGTAACTGCAGTCTGTTACAACTTCTGTCTAGCTGATTATCTAGATTTGGTGCTGATGAATGTACAGTCAGAGTAATGTCTAGTAATAGTGTTAATAAACATTATTTATGTTAATCACAGTTTTCCGATTGCACTTGATCTTGTTAACCACACAATTTTGATGAATTCTGGAGCTACACTGGTGGGGTCACAGTGCAGTGTTGGAGCTGCTGTGTTTTAGGCTTGATTGTCTCAAAGCCCCTGAGAACGTAACTTCCTGTCTTTAGTAATATTCATGACTTAAATAAGAACCAGCTACTGTTAAAAAAGACAAACATGTTTATGGGTGATTTCCTAGGTGTCATGATCCTGCCCCGCTGGCTTCCTGTCCCCAGCTCACCCTGACTCTCAGGCACACGCCGCTCCCTGACACTAGGAGTTTAACACTTGGTTTCAAAAGCTTCTATAACATTAAACAATCAAGAAATTATTAATACATTTAAAAATCTTTTTATATTATTTAAGACTCTAGCTAACATTTAGCTAATCTGTGTGGATGGGTGTAGCTGATCAGATTTGATTAACAGTGACCAGCCAAATCACCGTCATCTGATTCAAACATTACTAAACCCCTACTGGTGCATAAAGGTAGGTGACATTTTTACAAGTTTTACACCTGGCCACTGGAAACTAGTGAGAAAGGGTCAGACAAAAACACAAAGAGAAAAATCTCATATAAAATATTCAAAAACTGTTCTAACTTTGGCAGATAATTGTGCGTTAACATTGGATCCTATAATAGTAAGAAGCTGATTGAGTATGTTTTCAAGGCATTTTGGCATATGTGTGCTTATCAATATTTGTGTGCATCTGTTGGACTCACCTCTGGTCCAATTGGGCCCTCATCTCCTCTGTAGCCAGGAGGCCCGGGCTTACCAGCCTCACCCTGGAAAACAACAATATGATTAATGAGACTGTGTTAGAACAAGTCTCCAAATAAAACAACCACATGAAGATAACACTGGCACTGTTAAGACTTATTCCCTCAGTTTGTAACATGTTAATGCAACACTCCAACACTTCAGCAGAACCACTTGTCTTAGCTTACACTAGAAAAAAATATCAATATTAATTTCATCTTTGTTCGTTAATGGAAGCTAGGTAGTCTAGCTTAGCACAAAGACTGGATGCATGAGGAAACAGTTGCCAAAGTCTGAAAAAAAATGAGAAAATACTTCTAAGCCTCTAAAGCTGTCTGATTTATTACACTGCATCTTGTTACATTTGTCACATCATTTATATACATAGCAAACAAGGCGCAGGAATTTACATTATAGAAGGAGCTGAAGTTGGAATTAGCCGATTTTCTGGCAGACCACAGCTGTTGTACGGCAGCACCTCAGCCCTGCCCAAAGTTACCCTCTTTACAAAATGTCGGAATGTATTGTGATAGGGAGTAAGAGAGTTTTGGCTAACTGTTTCCAGTCTCTGCTAAATTATGCTAAAACATAGCTGGATTTGTCCATGCACAGAGCATTACTGCTCCTCTCGTCTGACACGTCACTTATTCCATGTTTTCTGTACTGTTCGGTTGCTCACTATTCATTTAGCCAAAAGCACAAAGGTGCCATTGAAAGTTGGGACATCACAGAGGTTACCACAACTAATACTTGTGATGTATTATTACTATTACACAGCTAGGTGGTTTATGAAGAAACCCATTCTGAGGCT